CATTTGTGTGTATATGTTTAAATGCCGTTTCCTTCGATTTTGTTTATCTGCAAGACATTGAGTTTCGAACTGCTACAGAGATGGCAAGAAATTGAGTTTAATCGAATTAATACAGAGATGGGAAGACAAAGGGTTTAATGGAATAACTGAAGGAATGACTAGACATTGGGTTTAATCGAACTATTACAGAAATGGAAAGACATGTAAGTTTTGCAAGTCGAGACTTTATTGACTATTAAAACATATGATGCACAGTGCGATACTATTACAAGTAATATTCCCATTTTAGTAGCATTTATACTCTTACGTTTAAAGGAAATTTATACCAGGCCAATAAAAAAAAAAAATCATAACTGTTATATATTACTTGTGCAAATGTGTACAGTTCCCTTAAAGGACCTTAAACAACTTCATCATGCTGCGTACACAAAAGAAGTTGTGTACAGTTGACTTGAAGGAACTAGAACAAAAAGTCAAGTCAATCATGTTGCACTGTCAGTAGACATTACATTTACATCTAAAGAGCTCATTCCAGGTAAATCAGTTTATATTTTTTAGAATATGGAGACATCCATAAATGACGTCAAGCTTCTAGGGGGGGGGGGGAGGAGGAAGTCACATTTTTGTGACGATTTATGATTTGGGGGGGGGGGGTGTGGTTCTGAAAATATCCCTGAAAAAAGTTGCAGTGAATAATCATAAATTACAGACATTTTAACATTATATTTTTATACAAAAATTATAATTATTTCATTTAAAAAAAAAAAATACGATCACTGATAGACTCAGTACAGGTATGCGAGTTCCGAGAAATGACATCTCATCAAGCTACAGGTCGTCACGGAGGACGGGTTGTAGTGACTTTCACAGCCGTGAGAATTTATGTCGAAATGTGGAGACGGGAACGATAGAATTAGGACAACCACGTGAAGTGGGGTGGAACGAAAAATAGTTGACTCGGGGGTGGGTGTGGTTTAATAAATGTTCTAGGGCAGGGATTCTCAGTCTTCTTTGAAGAGTTGGAATTTCCAAACATTTCCCGCAATGGCACCCCCCCCCCCACCCCGTATAAATTATATTGTAATACACTCTTTAAAAATGAAAATAATTAAATAATTTATCTATTGTCGTTTTATTTGATTAATTAACTATAAGGAGGCAAAAAATATCCGTATAGGTCTAAGTAATGTGCAAATAAAACTCACCTGAAAGGACAAAACATTTACTGCTGCTAGAACCGAAATGCATCAAACAGGTTTTGTTTTTAAAGGCAGGACAAAATGGCAATGTCGGCAGTGGCAGCTTTAAAAAAAAAAAAAATAATAATTTTTTTTTTTGGGTTCTTTTACCCTTGATTAAGGTTTGTAGTGGAAAGATTGATTTTTATAGGTTGGGGGAGGGGTCTGCAGAGGCTTGTTACGATACATTTGAAAATAAAAAAAAAAAAAAATAATAATTTTTTTTTTTGGGTTCTTTTACCCTTGATTAAGGTTTGTAGTGGAAAGATGGATTTTTATAGGGTGGGGGAGGGGTCTGCAGAGGCTTGTTACGATACATTTGAAAAAAAAATGACGTTTGGTTTTGAGGAAAAAAAAAAAAGGGGGGGGGGGAATTTGGCACAATTTGCGTGACCCAAACTGGTATTAGCTTTAAATACAACATATAACAAAATAGAAAAATTCTTTCTGCAAGTGAAAACTTATTTGTTTTTAATTCCGTTTTAAGTAACTCACCTTATCAAATCACTTGCCGACGAGCGGGACCTGCAACCCCTGCGGCTGCAGGGGGCCTCGGATATTTAAAGGACCCAAAGTGGAGATGGGGCAAACATAGTTAACTGTCAACTTGGAAAGCAGGGGGCAAAAAATAAACTGTAAGTGCCAGGCTAAAAATAACAGTTTGGGAAACTGAAACACATGGCATAGTCATAGCCATCACTTTGCCTGGAATAGCCCTGGTCCTAGCCCTAACTTAAAAATGAATGCATCGACAAATATGTTAATGTATTTTTCTTTCGTCGTGTTAATAATACACAAAACAATTACATTTTTTATGGGGGCCTAACTCCTTTTTTTCCATTTTAAATCAGTACATTTTCAAATCGAGTTTAAATATTATTAAATAACCATTGCTTCTTCTCGCTCATTTGATCCATCATTTCAGTTTCATATTATTTTTTTAATGAGGGGAAATAACAATGTGATAGATTTATATTGGTGCATTGTTTACCTTGCGTAAATACGTCAGTGTCATGGCGGACATTTGGCTTGTGAAAGTAGGTGGTGGCATTTAATTCATACCTTAACAGATAACGCTGTTATTTTTCATTAAATATCAAGTTGACTTTTATTCATTTTAATTCTTCAATTTACATCACACAAATTAAAGTGAAAAAGAACGATTGTGGCTGACTTGTTTGTTGTTTTTTTTAGAATGTTATTAATATTTGTTGCTTAGTCACCAGTACTACAGTAGAGTTATGATGACTGAGTTAGAGGATCTTTCAGAATGAGGATGTGCAGATCAGATATTGTTACAGTTAGTATATTATTTCCTGGACTGGAATTGTTTCGCTGTTACTTACAAAAATCTTGCTTAATATTAATAACTAACGTTATTAGTTGGCCAACTAACTCCTTTTAGGACTGGACCCGAAATGTTATACTTACTGCCTTCAAACTTCAAAGTTTAAGTAGTTTTTTTTATAAATTATCACTTTACTACTTTTACCAGGCTAAGACTGAGTCTGAGGCTTTTCCTAGTCATAGTCATATCATCATTATTATTATTCATTATTATGCGTGTCTAAGTAATGAGTGAGTAATAAATCATAAATCTGTAAAACAACTCTTTTTTTGGGGGGGTGGGGGGGTAAATTATGATTATAGATCTTCTATTGACTATTGTCTGTACTAACTTGTAAATGTATGATATTCAATCAATACTCTTGTCACAATGTCTATACTCTAAGAAGCAACTATTCCATGCCCACGGTGTCATAGATTATTCAGAGCAAGGATCGGTCTAACAAGCCACCTAAGAGCTCACCGTAATCCCAACCCCCCCCCCCCCCCCCCCCCCCCCCCCCCCCGCCCGCCCCTAACCGGATGATTTGATGGTCCTTGTCGACTTCGACGGAAGAACAACAACACCAACTCTAAGACTATTGCTGGGGTTCTTAACCAGAGTGGCTGCACCCACAGGTGTGCGGGAAGACTCTAAAAATTTTGAAGCAAATAGTATAGTAAAGTAAAGGCTACACAATTAAACGTCAGATGTTTTTGTGGTGAATTGTGAATTGTGTTTGCACATTATGTGTAATAATGTTGTTTTTTTTGTTCATAGCACATTAATATATTTTATTACAATATTTTTAATCTGCAAAGATGGGGATGGAGGGTTTGAGAGGGAGTGACGTGCTACAAAAAAATTAAAAAACCCATGCTCTATAGGCTGTATAGTAGGCCTATATTTATAGACTTGAATTCAGTTTTAATGGCCTCCTTACTATCCTACCTTGTTTATTTAGTCAGATAGTTTTAGACTGTTTCAGTTTTCTATATGACTATTGTTTATTATGAGGCCAAGAGCTGAAGAGGCAAACTTATTGGGATTCCTAATCTTCTGACATGGTGTCTATTGGGTGGAGGGAAAATGAATGTTCCTATTTAACTGAATATTACATGCTTTATTATAGCTTTTTAAATCATGCTGATTTATTCTTTTTTACATACATTTACAGTGGAGGAATCATTTTGATAACTTATTATTTATTTTCCGAGTGAGACAAAGCTTATAAGCAGATGGAAATAATGGCCATGAAATTTTTAATTTGCATGGGTTCAAAAAAAAGTAAAGAATATGGAGAAGGGGTGAGGTTGTAATATATAATTGTTGTCACATATGTACACACAGTCCATACTGTGGACAGACTTAAGTACTAATAAAAACATAAATGTTTGTCAGTAATGTGGGTGGGTATTTTAAATTGTAGCTTAGAGTGGGGATGAGCCTGAATGGGAGAATTGATTTTTTATACATAGCCAAGATAAGCAAGTGTGAATGGAGGCTCTTGCGAACTGTGTGGCATGACAGCAGAATCCATAGATCAGATTTTGAGTGCAGAGATATATAAGTCATGTATTTTAATTTTTAATTAATTAAAAAATTTAAATCCATTCTTGACTCATAATTACTTACTTTCTTACTTATGCCTTTTTACTCCATCTGGGGCATAGGCCATCCACAAGAATTTTCCACTCATCACTGTCCTGTGCTTTCCAATTGCTTCCAGGTGTATCCCGTATTTTGCGTGTCTGCCTCTAGCTCGCATCTCCATGTATTCTTAGGCCTTCCTCTCTTTCTTTTTCTTGACTCATGGGCTATATAAAAAGAGATTACAGGCAGTTTTTGGCCAGTGGGACATTAGTTTACCAAACTCTAATGTACACCTTAACTAAATATAAAATTATAGAATATTTGGTGTTGCGTATTTTCAGAGTTTGATGCATTGTAATGCTGGCACCCACTGTCTGATTCTGATGATGGGGAAAAAAATAAAATCAATTACCGATAATGACGAGTGATTTTTTTTCTTAGACTTTTCACTTTCAGTGTGATTGTGAATTCTCATCACCAAAGTTAGATAGGACATATCCTTGTATAACTGCTTAGGAAACAGGATTAAGTTGATCATAGATTTTTGTTTTTCTCAGTGCAACAAACCTTGATGGGAAAAGAGGAATGATCACACCTATGTTCTAGGGAAAAATTTTCAAATACTAAATGACTAATTTGCATGAAATAGTGTAAACCAAAATATACCATAATAAAATGAATATCGAAATGACAGTTTTATTTTACAATCTGTATAATCCTTTCTGTAAGACAATACTAGACTTCAATATAAAATTTAATAAAAGTACACAGATTATAATGCTATATTAATTCTATTTTTACTGACAGGATTGTCAATAATTTTCAAGGTGAAAAGAATAACTTTTTGAAATCCTATTGCATAATCATTTGTTCATCATGGCATCCTATGGGAAAGGAAACTTTGATGGATTTACTCCATATCAAGCTGATTCACGTTCAGAGGGTTTGTATTTGATCAAGCTTTAAAATTATTACCATTTTTTTAAAAAACATATGATCTGAAACACAAGTTTAGCCAGATCCTAACTTGTATTCCATAATTAATTGGCACTACATATGTGATACATTTTTAGTTAAAAAATGTAATGAAATAAAATAGTCTGCAATATCATTGCAACATTATTTGTAACCACAAGACAAAGATAGACTTACAAAATTTGAAGGTATAATTCAAAGTTTAGGTCAAATATTTTATTTGTAAAATCTTAAAAGAGTGATGTTTTGATGCATATATTATGCATGTTTTCAAAGTCCTAAATGTGCTATAATATTTTCATAAAAGGTTTTCAGCATATATAGACACATCAATGTTGATTGTTGTAAATTATCAACAAAATCTCATTCTTGTAAAATAAAGATTAGTACCTATTACTATTAGTAATAAACATTTTGTTTACTTTTATAACTCAGTCTAAGTCGTAATGTTATCTAAGTCCTAGTGTAGTTTGAATCTTAGTGTTGTTAAGTCCTAGTGTTATTTATAACACATTTTATTGATTGAATTATTTAATATAGGATTTATAAGTCAGATAGTAGCACACTAATTGATTTTATTTACATATTTAATTTAGGAGACAAAGGTTCAGATTTTGGCAAACTCACCAGGGACATCAGCAGCAACATTCAGAAAATTACCCAAAATGGTGAGTACGCTAGACCATTTCAGATTTGGTTGAACAACGCGGTATTTCCAAGTGATACTGATTTATTGTAAAAATCTTAAATGCAAGAATTGTCAAATTATATTATTATTATTTTTGGATATTATCTATTTGTGTGTAATGACTAGTAACTGTGAAATAACTTTTCCAATATTTCAAGTTGGAAAATGAAGGCTAAGTTTACTTATGTGGAACAAGCACATTTTTACTAATCTATATGAGATAAAATGTCTTGTAACATAAAAAGATGATTTTTCTATATATAACAGATTTATTTGTAAAAAATTAAGGTATTAATATAATTAACAGTTTTCTTAGGAAGTAATATTTGAAGGCATTATCAGTTTGATATGCTTGTGGGTAAATGTCCTTTTTTTTTATTTGAATGTCTCATCACATTTATATAAAGGGTTGAAAATAATTGACATTTGATTAATTGCTGTTTTCTAATCAGTTAGCGATATTTTTTAATTGATGTTCTTCACTTCACTTGACAGTATCACAAATACAGAAGTATGTCAGTCAGATCGGCACTCCTCAGGACTCTGATGATCTACGCCAGCGAGTGTAAGTTCTCTTTAAGACAGATTCAGTTATGTAAGAAATTTTTTCCCCAGAAGATTTTCCTACCGTTCTACAAAAATTACAGGTCTTCTTTATCTGGTACTTTATGATATTTTATTTTGCTGGCAAAAGAAGCTTTTAAAATAATAATCAAAGCCCTTTTATATGAGTATAGGTTGCCATTAGTGAAATATTGTTATACCTGGTCTTTCAAATTAATTAATATTTAATTTCAAAGTTGCTTCATAAGTTTGAGTTATCAGCACTAATTCTTGGTTCTCTTACTTTCAGGCACGAGACGACCCATTACACTAATCAACTAGCTAAAGAGACAAGCAATTATTTGAAAAGTCTGGCCCATTTACCAATACCAGCAGCAGAACAAGTAATTATATATGTTGATGGAGATTTTTAATAATGGAGTCTGCTCTCATATCTCTAACTCCCTTAGTCATGCATTAGACGTATACATTTCAGCTTTATGTAATGCTTTCCTTTTGTTTCCTAAAGATCTGATAGTTTCCACATACAAAGTGTCAAAGATTGATATACAATTACACAGAGTTATACTGGTATACAAATATACAGATTGATTTACTTGAACACATATTGAGTTACTGATACACAAGCATAGTAACGGTGCCTAAGAACTATAACATTGTAGCTGAAGTCAACTAAAACAGAAATTCCTATTTAAAAACCTTGTGTCTAGAGTTGTGCAAGGAATTCCTTTTATAGATATTCTTTTACTAATCCAAATAAATGGACATGTTTTTGATCACAGTGTACACATTGATTGTCAGCGCATGTATTAATATTCTTATAAACACAAAAAATTTTATACTTGAACAATTTCAATGTATTGTGCATGATATAGGCTGAGATATTGTGTATGATATAGGCTGATATTGTGCATGATATAGGCTGATATTGTGTCTGATATAGGCTGATATTGTGTATGATATAGGTTGATATTGTGTATGATATAGGCTGATTTTATAATTTGGTATGTTTAACAATATCCACAATTAGAAACCAGTTGGAATAATGTTCAGCTATTCCCACAATTAGAACATGTACATAGGAAACCAGTTGGAACCCTGTCCAGCTACTCTCAGAAATAGAAATTGCTCATGGGAAACCCTGTCCAGCTATTTCCACAGTTAGAAACTGCTCATGGGAAACCAGATTGAACCCAGTCCAGCTATTCCCATCCCCATTAAATATTCACCTTGCTACAAATATTGTTTTATTTCAGTGCTATTTTGAGGTACATGTTTATTGGCTGACAAATTATTTGTTATTGAGTTTTAAACCTGTAACAAAGTTTTAAATAATTAATTATTAATTTGTAAATATGAAAAATATGTTAAATGCTTTATAGCCAAAATCAAAATGAATGATTTTTTTTGCTCAGAGGCAATGGAAGATGCAGAAAGAGAGATTGACTGATGAGTTTAGCAATGCTCTAAAGAATTTCCAGACAATTCAGAGAACAGCAGCAGAGAAAGAAAAAGCCAGTGTACAAAGGGCAAGAGCTCAATCAGGCTTGGATAAGGTCAGTGAGTCTATGACAAATAATCACTTAATTATTCATTCTAAATTGTACATTGCAATTTGTACAAGTACATTTAAGTTGTTTGGTGTTCCTAAATGACTTTGGAAAGAAGTTTTTAAAATTATTTACTTCCTTAATCTCGACACAATACCCGGCATTGACCATGTATTTAAGCTCAGGAAAGTAATACATAGCTAGTTTTATTAACCTGTATTATTATTCATTAAACTGAAAGCTCTCATTTAACTGTAAGTTAAAAACAAACTTTCATCACAGGATTTCTTTGGTAATGAATCATCTGAAAACAGAGCTTTCTCTCAAACCTCAGGGTAAGTTGAACCTTTGAGTATTGACCTCAGGGTAGTTGAACCTTTGAGGATTGACCTCAGGGTAAGTTGAACCTTTGAGGATTGACCTCAGGGTAGTTGAACCTTTGAGGATTTACCTCAGGGTAGTTGAACCTTTGAGGATTGACATCATTGAGTTAAATTTAAACACATTTCAGTTTAACAACAAGAACATAAAAATGAAGAAGTAAATTTTTTTTACTGAAATTATGAACATTTTATTGAGCTTTTTTTTATAACGAACAATAATTAAATTAAGTTTATGGGAAATGATAAGTTGGAAATTGAGTTGTATGAATATTGTCTATATCTCTTGTGTGACTGTATTACTTTTTCCATCTGAATAGATTTTCACAGACCAGGCAGATCTTACAGATGGAGAAAGATGTTGACCTTGACCTAATCAAAGAGAGAGAAGACGCTATTAAAAAACTTGAAGTAAATACTAACAAAATTATTCTTTACAAGGAATTTGAGAGAATTAGTTTAGGTATACTGTCCTGAGTACGATTTATATGCTTGAATGAACCAGACATTTTTTGTAATTTATGAGAATTTTTATTTAAGTGAGTCTAATAATTATTATTGAACTTTTTTTATGAATGTTTCACAGAGTGATATAATGGATGTCAATCAGATATTCAAAGATTTGGGAATGCTAGTTCATGAACAAGGAGAAGTTCTAGGTTAGTTGTTTATATGACCTGTGTTCAAAAGAAATTTGTTTGATGAAAGTTTGTTTGAACATCATAATGAAATAATTGGAAAAAAAAATACAAAAATACATTTGACTAAAAAGTTTACATTTAACTAAAAAATTTACGTTTTCCATGTTTCCCTTTAAAAAAAAAACAAATAAAGCTTAATTCAAAAAATTAAATTTTGAACAAACCCCTGTTTACAAAAAATTCCATATAGTTAAATTTCCTTCAAATTTCTTATGTACAAATTTCCAGATACAAAATAAAATAAATATATCCTCAATGTTTTTAAAAATCTTTGTTTACATTCTAATCTAAAAGAATCAAATGCCATAAATTAGAGTAATTTCTACTGCGTCATTATAAAACGTTAATTCACGCTAAGCCATGCAATAACTTTAACTTTTAAAAAAATACAAAATTTAGAACAAAATATCTTTAGGCTTGAAAAAAAGACATGGCAACCAAACTAATATTTTGGCCTGAAGACTTGTTCAGCTGGCAATACAATAATCAAAACACATAAATTTCAATTAAAAATAAAACTGATGTTTTTGCAGATCTCAATAATGTCAATGTAGAGCAAAGTTCAGAACAGGAAGTGCTCTAGTTGTGTTACACTTGATATTTCCATGATAGTATTATGTATTTCTTGCCATTTGTTTCCCTATTCAGATAGTATTGAAGCCAACATTGACAATGCTCAACTGTCAGTTGAAGAAGGAACAAAACAGCTGGGTAAAGCCAGGGATTATCAGGTAAGATTTTATGACATTCAAAGCCAGGAATTATCAGGTCAGATTTTATGACATTGTCAGGTGAGATTTTATGACATTTAAAGCCAGGGATTATTACGTCAGATTTTATGACAATTAAATCCAGGGATTACAAAGACAGATTTTTATGACATTTTTATTGCTTTTATTGTCTTTTGTTTGCTTCTTTTTAGATGCAAAATATATCTTTCATTTCTTAATAATATATTGTTATTTTCCTGTGTGTATATTTTAAATATCTTAATTGTCCCCTCCTAATTATGGTCAGATTTCACCAAACATCTTAAAATATGAACAAAATAATAATCAAGTGACCTCCAGATCATGAATAATTTAATTGAAAATTAACATGTACAAATAAATTATTATTTCTTTCATCAAAATTGTTATTATTTAATAATGTTACTTACATATGAACCTTCCTCCCTTTCTGACAGATTTCTCCTTAAAACCTTCATATGTAAATCACTGATTAACTTGTAGATTTAATTTTAAATCCTGATACCAAAAGCATATTATGGATTTATTTGATGGATGTATTTGATGGATGTATTTGATGGATGTATTTGATGGATGTTTCTTTAATAAAAGATTTTTATTTTTATTTATTTATTTTACTTGCTTTTTTTTTTTTTGCTTTTTTTTTTTTTGACATTTGGCATGAATTTTGATTTATTTTCAGTCTAGTGCAAGGCGAAAAAAATGCTGTATTTTCATCATTGTTGTGTTTTTTATTTTATGTTTTTTTTTTTTTTTTTTTTTTTTAATAAAATATTTTTTTTTTTATTTTTTTTTTTTTTTTTTTTTTTTTTTTTTTGCTTTTTTTTTGTTTGACATTTGGCATGAATTTTGATTTATTTTCAGTCTAGTGCAAGGCGAAAAAAATGCTGTATTTTCATCATTGTTGTGGTTATTCTGGGTATTATTGCCCTGATCATTGGCGTCAGTGTTAATTAACAGGAAGTTCTTGCTGACATTGGTACAGGTTTTCAGTTCATTTTGTATAACTTTTGGTTTAGTTGTATTCAAATTATTTTTTTATACATCTGTTATACATATTACAGGCTCAGCATCTAAAATTAATAATCAGACATGTTACTGGCTCAGCATCTCAAATCAATAATTATACATATTACAGGGTCAGAATCTCAAAACAATAATTATACATATGACAGGCTCAAAATCCCAAATCAATAATCATACATGTTACAGGCTCAGACATATTACAGGCTCAGCATCTCAAATCAATAATCATACATGTTACAGGCTCAGCATCTCAAATCAATAATCATACATGTTACAGGCTCAGCATCTAAAATCAATAATTGTACATTTTTACATTTTGAAAGAATATTAACATCAGCTGGAACATTTTGTTTCCGCAATGATTAAATAGTTCAGAAAGTAGCCGTTTGTGTCGATATAAGTGGGAATGGATTTGTAGAGATTTTAACTTAAGATTGCTTTTTATGTCTATCAGTTATAAATGGTCTAAATATTCTGTGATGATCCACAGACAAAATCTCGACGGAAATGTTGCATTCTGATCATTGTTGTATGTTGCATCATCCTCATCTTGGCTCTGATCATCTACTTGTCTGTCAAGTAACCTGTTGATACCTGGACAAGCACAGAAATACTGGGTCATACACCTGAGATGGCCTGCCCCTGGCTTGTAAATACTACAGTGTAATTGTGTGTTGACAGGCTATATTGTGAGGCCTCACAAATCCCTTAGTGAACTAAACAATATTTTATTAAAATGATCCTTTTGTTGTCAGAAAACTATATGTGCACATGGATATTTCATAATAGGGTAGTGATAAATTTACTAGTTTTAATATTGACTCCTAATTTGGTTTGAATGATAAAATAACAGCTGACATGAAATTTGAGATAAAATTCTCAAACATCTGTACAAGAGAAAATCAATTCAGTTTTAGCTGTTGATGGAGTTTAGAGTGAACTTCTTTTCACTGTAACATCTAAAGTCTCCTTGCAATATTACCTTTTCTGTTCTGCTGATTTACAATATGAATGTCTTAAACCCTATATTATAAAATTAATTCAACCAAATTTAAACAATTTTTTTTAAAGGCAATTGCTGATACTTCAGATTCATCTGTTGATTCAGATGATCATTAAATGTTTAACACATAGTAATTTGAATATATTTCTAAACCTTTTTATGTTTTCATTTTTGCAAGAGTTTCTTTCTATCTGTATGTGTTTGACCTTTATAGGAGACACTAGAAGTGTTAATTTAACCTTTATAGGAGACATTTGAAGTGTTAATTTAACCTTTAAAGGAGACATGTCAGGATATAGTTGAAAAAAAAAAACAAGCTTTATGGATGTTGAATGTCAGGATATGAATTCAACACGTATATTTCATCTCTGACACATTGAAGATATCTGGATGTTTTGCTAATTGTGTCCCCGAGAATTCTATAGAAGTTGTTTGAGTAGCTGACCAAGACATGAACTGCACTCTTTAGTTAAATATTATCTTCATCTCAAACATTATTTTTTTTAATTTATTGAAAACAGAAAATTTTATATCTGCCAACATTCTCAATGCATTGTTTTCTTCAATAATTTTATTTATTTTTCCTTTACCCTAATTCCATCTCAAACTATGACACTGAAAAATGCTTTCTTCATTACCCTACACTAATGAGGACACCAAAATTTGTTTTGTACATTCCAAATTCTGAGACATCAGTTTTTAAATCAAGTTTCATTGGTTCAATTCACAACTCTCTGGACAACATTAGGCACAGCACAATTTATTTTGTTTGTATAATAAATTGTCCAAAAATGATTTTTCATGTTTTAATTTTATGTTTCTTTATGATCATCATCCATAAAATGCATTTAAATATAGGTGCATTCAAGTCTTGTTTCTTATACTGCAATCAAATTAGATGTAGAAACATTTATATTTTGTCATATAATCCAGTTCTGTACATATGTTTTGTTTTTACTAAGCCATATTGATAATTTGTTGTTATTAAAATTAAAAATAGAATGGTGTATTCTTAATCAATTTAATATCACCCCCAAAAGCACCAAAGCCACCGCACACATAGAGACACATTTCTAAATATATATATATATATATATATATATATATATATATATATAATTCCCCTAACGACATGTACTTGATCGTTGTCTATTAAGTGGTGCTTAATCTAATCTGTTAGAGACCCTCTCACTTGTATTATATGGATACTTTGTTGTTATAAAAATTAAAAATAGAATGGTGTATTCTTAATAAATTTAATATCACCCCCAAAAGCACCAAAGACACCGCACACATAGAGACACATTTCTAAATATATATATATATATATATATATATATATATATATATATATAATTCCCCTAACGACATGTACTTGATCGTTGCCTATTAAGTGGTGCTTAATCTAATCTGTTAGAGACCCTTACACTTGTATAAGTAAGTTTACCTTTTGACATGGTCAATTTTTTTTTTTTATATACTTTTTGGCATCTTAATAAAAAAAGATAATAAACTTAAAATAATAATGAAAACATTTTTTGATCCTGAAATTTATTTCAAATGAATTCTCCAGAACTGTGGGATTCTATTTTATTAATAGTTATTCTAATTTTCATTCCTTGTTTTCTTCATTGTCTTGTTAATCAGTTTGGCAGATAGAATTGCACAATGTTTGGTTTCAACATCACTGATTTACAAGTTTTTTCTAGTAAAAATAACATTTTTTTAATATATATTTATATTGATACCGGGTACTCATTTAGTGCAGTATGAAGAAAAGGACTCAATTTTACTTTAAATGTATAATAATAATGGTGTAATTATTTCCTTGTAAGACGGCTTGGTAATAAAGATAAGAATAGGCTCATGCTGATCTCCACCTAACTCTAACATCGTTGAAGTTAAAGAAACAAAAATTATTACATTGTTGAATAACTATTCAAATGAAATCTTAAGTTTCCTAAAAAAAATATACTATTAAATTCTATGATGAATTTAGAGACTATCCTATTTGTTAAAAAAAATGATTCAATTAAAAAAAAAACATGTCTGTATATACATATATAAATATTTATTTATTTGTAAGCTTTATCAAAATTTTGTGATCATTGGTGATTATTTTTTAACTCTAGAAAATAACAAATTTATGTAAAAATTGTTTTTTGTAGTTATAAACCTTAAGCATCATAAATGCTTTGGGGGTGGGGGGAATTTTGTGGGGAAAATGAGGGGGGGGGTATTACAATGCGCAGGAGTGGGTAAGAGGTAAATTTTAATTTAAAAATATGAATACAAAATATATAGCCATATAAAAAAAATGCCTCTTAATCTTTGGAGTGTCACAATAACTAAGCAATATTTTGTTAGAGTCCTGTGACATGTGCCAGATTTTTGTGAAATGATATTTGTAAAGTCACTCTTCTTTTCTACCAATAAAATGATGCTATAGCTGTAGTGGGCTTTTTTTTTTGGTCAAAGTTCTTTGCTTTTCTGAACTTCTTCTAGCACTATCATAGCACTATCTAGCACCTATAATACAACTACATAGTATTCTATACAAATAAAAGGACTACATAGTATTCTATAATAGGACTACATGTACTCAAATAAGAGTACACAGCATTCTATATTAGTAGGACTGCATAGTATTCTATAAATTGGACTACATAGTATTCTTAATGAAAATCCCACTTTTAATTAAATACCAGTCCAGTTTTAATCCTAATGTAGGCCTACATGTTACTATGTCATACAGATTCTCTGTGCATAGATGCATTGACTTATTACTTTGACAGTTTGTCCAGTGTAAGATTGACACTCATGTATGTTTACGGCATTTGAAAGATAGATTATAGTATCAACAGGTGACTCCATTTACGATGAAGCTGTTCAAAGTTACGTGAGATTATTTTTAGTGCTGTTATAGTGTCTAATGTAAATGGAAAAACATATTTAACTGATTATCTGTTGTCAAATTATGATTGATTGAAATGTCCAGCGATCATGTATAGTTTCAAAAAAAGAAAAAGGAAAAAAAAAAAAAATGTTCAATAATATATAGTGTTTGTGTGCAATCAAGCGTGATTACTCAAATATTGTTTCGCCATGTTTAGTGGAGATGTTTTTATAGACTTTTAGTCACTGTACTTTCTATACACAAGCAATTGAACTGAAATGACGTCATTGCATTTAGGACCATTCTCATTGCTCCGTAATGTAAATACAATAATTTGATTCCTTAGTACAGGGGTGAGCAAACTTTTTATGCAGAGTGCCATATTGACATATGTAAAGCTGTAGGGTGGCCGCATGTATATTTTATCCAATTTTTACAATTTGATGAACATTTCTCTATATTAAAATCAATAAATTCACATTTTAGCATTACTTGACAAAAGTTAAGGACTGTTTAAAAAAAATAGAAAGAAATTTGATAAAAATTTGTTATAACAAGCATAACCGTACATAAAAATTCTGTAGAATTCAACAAAATAACTTTTAAAACAAAGTAATTTGTTTAAATTTCTAAATGCCTTAGAGGGCCGCATAATATCAGTTGCCGGGACGCATGCGGCCCATGGCCGTAGTTTGCCCACCCCTACCTTAATACATTGGGACAGGGTAGAATAATTTGTATGAATATGTTTTAGTCTCTTGAACGTTTCTGTAACTAAAATGTGTCTGTATGGCCAACTAGTTAAAAATAGAAGAGAGGGTTAATGTCCCCCTGTACAAGTTAGTTTATGTACCAATGCATGCTTAATATCCTTAAAATATGAATGACACTAAAATTAATAATAATTAAAGTCATCTGAATAGCCAGGCAACAAAATGTAGAACAAGTATAGACATCTGATTAGCCAGACAACTAAAAGTGTAGAAAAATTAATAGACATCTGAATAACCAGACTACTAAAAATGTAGCAAAATTAATATGCATCTGAATATATCTGTAGCAAAAGTAATAGACATCTGAATAGCCACACAACTAATGAATTATAAATGTAAAAGACGTCAAAATAGCCAAACAACTAATGAATTATAAATGTAAAAGACGTCAAAATAGCCAAACAACTAATGAATTATAAATGTAAAAGACGTCAAAATAGCCAAACAACTAATGAATTATAAATGTAAAAGACGTCAAAATAGCCAAACAACTAATGAATTATAAATGTAAAAGACGTCAAAATAGCCAAACAACTAAAAATGTAGAAAAGTAATAGACGTCAGAATAACCAGACAACTAAAATGAAGAAAAGTAATAGGAATCTGAATAGCCAGACAACTAAAAAGTAGAAATGTCAAAGATATCTGAATAGCCAGACAACTAAAAAGTAGAAAAATAAAAGACGTCTTAATAGCCAGACAACTAAAAATGTTAATAAGTAAAATGCATTGAATAGCCCGACAACTTATGAAAAAATAAAAGATTTCTGAATAGCCAGACAACTAAAAATGTAGAAATATAATAGACGTCTGAATATTCGGACAACTAAAAAAGTAGACAGTTATAAGCATCTGAACAACCAGAAAACTATATATCTAGCAAAAGTAATAGACATATGAATAGCCAGACAACTAAGAAAGTAGAAATATAAAAGACATATAAATAGCCAGACAACTAAAAAGTAGAATAATAAAAGACGTCTGAGTAGCAAGACAACTTATTAAAAAATAAAAGCCATCTGAATAGCAAGACTAGTAAAAATGTAGAAAAGTAATAGACATCTGAAAAGCCAGACAACTGAAAATGTAGAAAAGTTATACACACCTGCACAGCTAGACAACTTTAAAAAAAAAATAGCAAAGTAATAGCTTCTCAATAGCCAGACAACTAAAAAAGTAGAAAGTTAATAGGCATTTGAACAACCATACAATTTAAAAAGTAGAAATGTTAAAGACATCTGAATAGCCAGACAACGTTTACAAGTAAACGACATCTGAATAGTCAGACTACTAAAACTCGAAAAATGATAGACATCTAAATAGCCAGACATATAAAAATGTAGCAGAGTCGATGTCTGAATAGCCAGACAAATAAAAACGAAGCAATAGTAAAAGACATCAGAAGGGCCAGACAAATGAAAATTCTAAATAGCCCGACAACTAAAAATGCCCAAAAGTGATAGACATCTGAACAGCCAGAGAAAAAAAAATGTAGAAAAGACAGCTAAAAATGTCGAAAAGTAAAAGACATCTGAATAGCCAGAAAACTATAAATGTAGAAAAAGAAAGACGCCTGAATAGCCAGACAACTAATGAAAAAAGAATAGACATTTGAACAGCCAGACAAATAAAAATGTAGTAAAGTAATAGGAAACTAAATAGCCAGACACCTAAAAATGTAGAAAAGTAATAGACATCTTAAAAGCCAGACAACTAAAAATTTCGAAAAGTAAAAGTAAAAGATATCTGAATAGCCAGACAACTAAAAATTAAAATATATATTTGAATAGCCAGACAACTAAAAATTAAAATATATATCTGAATAGCCAGACAACTAAAAATTAAAATATATATTTGAATAGCCAGACAACTAAAAATTAAAATATATATTTGAATAGCCAGACAATTTAAAAGGTAAAAGACATCTGAATAGCCAGACAACTATAAATTAAAATATATCTGAATAGTCAGACAATTTAAAAGGTAAAAGACATCTGAATAGCCAGACAACTATAAATTAAAATATATCTGAATAGTCAGACAATTTAAAAAGGTAAAAGACATCTGAATAGCCAGACAACTAAAAATGTCGAAAAGTAATACACGTCTGAAGAGCCAGACAAATAAAAATGTAGAAAAGTAATAGGATCCGAATAGCCAGACAATTAAAAATGTCGAAATATAAAAGACATCAGAAAAGCCAGACAACGTAAATGTAGAAAAATAAAAGACGTCTGAATAGCTAGACAACTAATGAAAAAAATAAAAGATGTCTGAATAGTGAGACAACTAAAAATGTAGAAAAGAAATTGCGGCCTAAATAGCCAGACAACTTAAAATGTAGAAAAGCAGATATCTGAATAGCCAGACAACTAAAAATGTAGCAAAAGTAATAGACATCTGAACAGCCAGACAAATGATTATGTAGAAAAGTAATAGGAATCTGAATAGCCAGACAACTAAAAATTTCTAAAAGTAATAGACATCTCAGACAACTAAACAACTTTGAAAGTAAAAGACATCTGAAAAGCCAGACAACTTTGAAAAGTAAAAGACATCTGAAAAGCCAGACAACTTTGAAAAGTAAAAGACATCTGAATAGCCAGACAACTTTGAAAAGTAAAAGACATCTGAAAAGCCAGACAACTTTGAAAAGTAAAAGACATCTGAATAGCCAGACAACTTTGAAAAGTAAAAGACATCTGAATAGCCAGACAACTTTGAAAAGTAAAAGACATCTGAATAGCCAGACAACTTTGAAAAGTAAAAGACATCTGAATAGCCAGACAACTTTGAAAAGTAAAAGACATCTGAATAGCCAGACAACTTTGAAAAGTAAAAGACATCTGAATAGCCAGACAACTTTGAAAAGTAAAAGACATCTGAATAGCCAGACAACTAAAAATGTAGCAAAAGTTGATGTCTGAATAGCCAGACAAATAAATATGTAACAAAAGTATTTATTGTTCGTCCATCGTTAGCGAAGATGACTACATGAGTAGTAGTAGTTGTAGTAGCCTTGACTTGAGCTGTATTTTGTTTAAAGGGAAGGAGAGTTGCTAAATTCCTCGGCCTTACTCTCTCGTCTTGATATTTTATAATGTACAAAGTACTAACCACCCCAACACACTTAATATCATATAATGTACAAAGTACTTGATATCATATAATGTACATAGTACTAACCACCCTCAATACACTTGATAGAAATATAATAGACGTCTGAATATTCGGACAACTAAAAAAGTACTTGAAATCATATAATGTACAAAGTACTTGATATCATATATTCTACAAAGTACTTAATATAATCTAATGTACAAAGTACTAACCACCCCCAACACACTTGATATAATATAATGTACAAAGTACTAACCACCTCCCAATACAATTGATATCACATAATGGACAAAGTACTAACAACCTCCCAATACAATTGCTATCATATAATGTACAAAGTACTAACAACCTCCCAATACAATTGCTATCATATAATGTACAAAGTACTAACCACCTCCCAATACAATTCATATCATATAATGTACAAAGTACTAACCACCTCCTAATACAATTGAAATCACATAATGAACAAAGTACTAACCACCTGCCAATACAATTGATATCATATAATGTACAAAGTACTAATCACCTCCCAATACAATTGATATCACATAATGAACAAAGCACTAACCACCTCCTAATACAATTGATATTATATAATATTATATTATATAATGTGCAAAGTACTTGATATCATATATCGTACAAAGTACTAACCACCAACCTTAAACATTCAGTTTATAAATAGTCCTGTTAATAACAAGGATGCATTAATTGAATGACCTTGTTAAATTAAAAACCATTCAAACACAGCGTCACTCTAAACAGATTGTGCTATTTCGTTTAGTTTTATTCAAGGTTCTATTACCTTTTTAAAGTTATCATTTTATGTTTTATCTTTAGTTAAATAATTGATTATTTTATCCTTTGATAGTCACCCCACACCCCTTGAAATGGGGGGATTACTCATGACATCTGATTAAATAGGGCTTTACTCATGACATCTGATTAAAAAGGGGTTTACTCATGACATCTGATTAAATAGGGCTTTTACTCATGGCACCCAATGACTCTGGTACTGACGTGGGATGTATAATCATTGTAAAACTTCGAGATAGTCGTGTTATATGCGTATGTTTTAGCAAGCTTCTATGGAAAAAATCTTTAAGAGATTCAAACTACAAAACAGCTTCCAATGAGCACACACACTCTTCTGAGCGTAAATGATTTGCTCATAGCCACAGTAATTATCCGTCCTATTTTAGATTATGCATCTTCAGTCTGGGACCCATTTACCCAGAAGAGCATTGACAGGTTGGAGGCGGTCCAGCGACGAGCACCACGCTTTGTCCTAAACCGCTACAGGAATACCTGTGTGTTGGCAGCATGCTGGAAACACTAGGCTGGTCACCATTGGAGAAACGACGACGACAATCCAGGCTCTCCATGATGTACAAGATAAATAATGGGCTGGTCCACTGTTCCAGTATTAAACAGAAACTCGTCCCTCTCCCCCATAGACAGCGACAAGGCCATGACAGGCAATTCAGGCTCATACCAGCAAGAAGCCAGTATAGGAGCTGCTCATTCCTGCCCAAGACAATCAGGGACTGGAACAATCTTTCAAAAGGAACGGTTGAGGCAACAACACTAGACAAATTTGTGTCTATTGCCTCAAGCCTTCAAACCCCTAGTGCATGATTCCCTCACAAAGTGGCACTGGAAATCTGTGAAATTTCCTCATCAACACCAGGAACAGAATCATTGCAAATCCCATCTACATGCATAGGAGCCAAAATGATCAATAAATTGATCGTGGGCCCTTAAGATATAGAAGAAGAAGAAGAAGGAAAGGCAGAATTGCCTCCATGTGTCTCACATGTGGTAAAGCTTTTGAAGAAAAATAAAATTGAGTTTTAAATTTAGACATATTTTGATGACGCAAAAATGGCGTACATATTTTCTGGGTTGTTTGTAGTTTTTAGATCTCCAAAATGTGCAGTTTCCATCCGTAAGAAAGATCTGCACTGTGGTGCAGGGGCGACATGGCTTTGATCATTGTGAAATAGTGCCTTACGTACATCTAACGGAACACACTCTTCCCCTGGTAAGCCAGCCTAGGGCGTCGTAGTTCTACACCACTATGCTGTAGTGTAAGGGCACATCATGGGAGGCGTCAGTCCCTAAAAAAGGGTTACATATATATAATATATTACAGGAGCTATATCAAGATACAAAAGGAACTGCTAAAAATATGATACTTTTTGTCTTATTTAAAAAAAAAAAACAACAGATAACAGCATGTTACTCTGACGGTTCAATGTAGGCCTAGAGATAGAAAAAGATGTAGCCCTTGAGTTGTGCATTTTCATAACTAAATATTATATATATTATATTATGCCCCCCTCCCCCACATCACATGGTGCGTCGTAGTGAGGAAGGAGCAGAGGTTTGGTAACATATTCACTAAAAAAAACTGCTGATTTACTTGTTTTCAAAATTTTCTCTCGCGATTCCAAAACGTGTTCATGTTTTCTTTGTCTTTTCCATTTTTTGCCCACTTCCCCATCTGTCTATCTGACCCACAACTCTACTCTTGTATCCATCCAGTCTCTCAGCGGACGATAACAAGTTGGTGAAATGGCGTTGTCGCAAAAAGGGAGAGCGCTAGTCCCAACAACAATGTCGTATGCCGGTTATGGTAGTGCTGACAGGCAGGTGGGGTTGTTGACCGTAGATGATATGCCTGAGCTTCTGAAGGAACCTTACATTCACACAGGGTACCGCCCAGTTGGCCTCCCTTGGACATATTATTTGTACAGCACAATTAGGGTAGGCTCAAACCCATTTTCCTTTCTTTTTTTTTTTTAAAATTTAAATTTTAAAACCCCCCCCCCTTTTTTTTTTTTTTTTTTTTCGGGCCAATGGTTCTCAACTTGTGCGCTTCTCCACGTCCGCTCCAAGAAATTCCAAAACACTATTAACTTTTAAGGTTGGGGGGGGGGGATGTCTAAGAGGCTCCTCGATAGAAATTAATTACAAAAAGTCGAGTCAAAATGGCTGGGAACTACTGATCTAGGCTATCACAGCATAAGAATTCCCATTCGTCGTGTCATAAATTATTTGTTTCATAACCGTGTCTATTAATTAATTAATTTTCTGAAACATTTCTTTTTGCATTCGTCTTTTATATCTTAATAAAATAAAAGCATTTGCTATTTTTAAAAAGAGTTAAGCGAAACCAGCTCCTATATTGAAGTAGGGCCAACAATAATAAAGTTTCCATAGTCTTTACAGAACTGTCTCTCAAGTTAGGAAATGTCCGGATATGAGAGAAAATAAACACTTTGTTGGGTTTGGGCTCGGGCTTTCGGGTGGGGTTTTAGTTTTAAGTTGAATAAAGCACTGGATTTATCAATGAGCCGATTTGTGGAATATGTTTGGTTCATTTAAAGTGTCAGCTGAATTGTAAATTTGTTGATTTCGACTTGTAACTTTGTCTTGGCATCAGCTACACAATGAAACTGTCAACGTTTGGACACACCTGGGTGGCTTCCTCCTAGTTTTAGTACGGCTTTTAATATTCTTTAACGGAGGCGGTGAGCTCAGCGAGAAAACTTCTTGGCCTGTCCTAGGCTATGGCGTGTGTAGCCTAGTCAACTTGGTAGCAAGCACCGGAGGTAGGTTTAGTTAATCTGGTAGCCAGTACTGTAGGTAGGTCTGGTTAATCTGGTAGCCAGTACTGTATGTAGGTCTAGTTAATCTGGTAGCCATTACTGTATGTAGGTCTAGTCAATCTGGTAGCCAGTACTGTATGTAGGTCTAGTTAATCTGGTAGCCAGTACTGTATGTAGGTCTAGTTAATCTGGTAGCCAGTACTGTATGTAGGTCTAGTTAATCTGGTAGCCAGTACTGTATGTAGGTCTAGTCAACTTGGTAGCCAGTACTGTATGTAGGTCTAGTTAATCTGGCAGCCAGTACTGTATGTAGGTCTAGTTAATCTGGTAGCCAGTACTGTATGTAGCTCTAGTTAATCGAGTAGAAAGTACTGGAAGTAGGTTTAGTTAATCTGGTAGCAACTACTGGGAGTAAGTTTTACAGTCGATATGTTTGATCAATATGTCCATACTTGAAATGGGGTTTCACGTCAAAGACTCTTAGCTCTAGTAAGGAGTTTAGTTAAAATATTTTCATCCTGGATGATGTTGAAGAATTGCTGAAGCGAATTGAGTTTGGCACCATAAATGGAACACTTACGAAGAATGTAATTCCCAGGCCCCACCTAGGCAACACGTTATTCCCAGGCCACACCTTGGCAACCCGTCATTCCCAGGCCCCACTTTGGCAACCCGTCATTCCCAGACCCCACCTTGGCAACCCGTCATTCCCAGGCCCTACCTTGCCAACCCGTCATTCCCAGGCCCCACCTTGGCAACCCGTCATTCCCAGGCCCCACCTTGGCAACCCGTCATTCCCAGGCCCCACCTTGGCAACCCGTCATTCCCAGGCCCCACCTTGGCGACCCGTCATTCCCAGCCCCCACCTTGGCAACCCGTCATTCCCAGGCCCCACCTTGGCAACCCGTCATTCTCAGGCCCCACCTTGGCAACCCGTCATTCCCAGGCCCCACCTTGGCAACCCGTCATTCCCAGGCCCCACCTTGGCAACTCTTTATTTCCAGGCCCCACCTTGGCAACCCATCATTACCAGGCCCCACCTTGAAAACCCGTCATTCCCAGGCCCTATCTTGGCTACCAATCATTACCAGGCCCCACCTTGGCAACCTGTTGACCCGTCATTCCCAGGCCACACCTTGGCAACCCGTCATTCCCGGCCACACCTTGGCAACCCGCCATTCCCAGGCCCCACCTTGGCAACCCATCATTACCAGGCCCCACCTTGGCAACCTGTCATTCCCAGGCCCTACCTTGGCTACCCGTCATTCCCAGGCCACACCTTGGCAACCCGTCATTCCCAGGCCCCACCTTGGCAACCCGGTGTGGTATTTGAGGCCGAGAGCCTTCCAACACAACAAATTCTGTGGCCGGGGGTATTGCCTGAAAGATTATTTTTCTACATTTCAATTTATTCATTTTTATCGTAGCCGAAAATGTTTACGACCCACACTATGATTACGACCACACTATGATTACGACCACACAATGATTACGGCCCACACTATATATGATTACGACCCACACTATGACTCAAGTCTAAACCCAAATACACACAAAATCTAATACCCTTAGAGCAGCGGTTCTCAACTTGTGGGTCGCGACCCCTTTGGGGGTCGAACGACTCTTACACGGGGGTCGCCTAAGACCATCGGAAAACACATATTGATGAAGTAGCGAGGAAAATAATTTTATAGTTGGGGGGTCACCACAACATGAGGAAATGTATTAACGGGTTCGCGGCATTAGGACGGTTGAGAACCACTGCCCTTTGAGTTTAAGTCAACGTTGTAATCCTGTTGTATGGTTTGCCCCACATTGCAGCCCATCTCCTACACTCCAAATCTCAATGGCACCATTACGTGCTCTTTCTTATGGACTACATGGGCGTCACCATCTTCTGCTTCGGTTCTGGCATTGCTACAATGTACGCCATTGCCACCACGAGCTACCATGAGATTATGTACGTTTGCTTCCTGCCCATCAATGTACTCTTGAGTTGGGTAGCTTTTTTCACCTGCTGCCTAGCTAAACTCCGTCTCACTCACCAGCATGTAAGTAATAGGTTTGAGAACTCAGGATGCAAGGGGTAGGTTTGATGCATCAGGATTTAAGTAGCAGGTTGAGACATCAGGATGTAACTAATGGGTCTGAGACATCAGGATGTAAGTAGTAGGTTGAGACATCAGGATGTAAGTAGCCGGTTTGAGGCATCAGGATGTAAGTAGCAGTTTTTAGACATCAGGATGTAAGTAGTACGTTTGAGACATCATGATGTAAGAAGTAGGTTTTATACATCAGGATGTAAGTAATGGGTTTGAGACATCAGGATGTAAGTAGTAGGTTTGAGACATCAGGATGTAAGTAGTTGGTTTCAGGAATCAGGTGTAAGTAGCAGGTTTGAGAATCAGGATGTACGTAGTAGTTTTGAGACATCAGGATGTAAGTAGCAGATTTTAGACATCAGGATGTAAGTAGCAGGTTTTAGAAATCAGGATGTCAGTAATACGTTTGAGAATCATGATGTAAGTACAAGGTTGAGGCATCAGAATGTAAGTAGCAGGTTTGAGGAATCAGGTGTAAGTAGCAGGTTTGAGACTTCATGATGTAAGAAGAAGGTTTTATAAATCAGGATGTAAGTAATGGGTTTGAGACATCAGGATGTAAGTAATGGATTTGAGACATCTGAATGTAATTAGTAGGTTGAGACATCAGGATGTAAGTAGTAGGTTTGAGACATCAGGATGTAAGAAGAAGGTTTTATACATCAGGATGGAAGTAGAAAGTTTGAGACGTCAGGATGTAAGTAGTGGATTTGAGACATCAGGATGTAATTAGTAGGTTTGAGAGGAACGTACAGCTCCCTTTACGGTGGGGTGAGGTAACGCAACACCATCCCCGGAGAGGAAGAGAAGCCGCTCCAACCCAACGTCCAGACCGTACGACTCATTGGGCAAGGGGGGTGGTGACGCAAAACTGTCCCCTCATGAGTGGAAGCAAACTACCCAGCACTCCTTTTACTCGAGACCGTGTTGCATGGCCGGAGCCCCCAGGGACTACTAGGCCATGTTTCAAGGCCGACCTCCTTAGAGTAATGAACTTTATTAGTAGGTTTGAGACATCAGGATGTAAGTAGTAGGTTTGAGACATCAGAATGTAAGTAGTAGGTTGAGACATCAGGATGTAAGTAATGTGTCTGAGACATCAGGATATAAGTGGTATGTTTGAGACATCAGGATGTAAGTAGTAGAGTTTAGACATTAGAATGTAAGTAGAAGTTTTGAGACATCATGATATAATTAGTGGGTTTGAAACTGCAAGATTTTAAGTTGTAGGTTTGACACAGCATATCAAAATGTAAGTAAATAGGAGGTTTGACAGATCACACCATGATGTAAGTAGGACGATGTAAGTCTAAACATCACATCATGGTGTAAGTAAAGGGCCTCGTTTTCGCTACTTGTTCGAAACCACAATGCTACTAATAATATACATTTGAGAATACGTCAATCGATAGTCAAGAAAACTTTGATAACAAATTGAAAACTAAATCAAAATATAAGAACAAAATAACATTTATTTTACAATATGACCAACCATACGAGTATGTGCCTGACATTTTTTTTCCCTTTGTGTAGAAGAAAATTTTATTTAATTAAAATTCAAACCATCTTTCTGTCCTCAAGTCTAAGAGAAAAGCCTTGATGTTGTTAGGAGTGGCCACCCAGGGAGTGTTTGTTGCAACCCCAATTTTATCCCGCTACTACCAGTGTATGCAAGAGCCCGACTGCGCATACTCGTCCCTCAATCACCTTGGCCTCGTTTTGACGCTCACCGCGCTCTGCGCGATCACGTTCGCCTGCCAAATCCCCGAGAGTTTACTCCCTGGCGGATTTGACTTATTCGGCCACGGCCACCAGATCTTTCACGTCCTGGCCGTGATGGCCATGCTAGCAATGATCGGAGCCATGGACAAGGACATCAACGTGATGGGCGTCAGCCAGAAATTGGAACCCAACTTTGTTCACTTAACTTTATCGCTAGCTGTTCTCGTAGCCCTTGAAGTTGTGACGCTCATTTATTGTGTCCAGCGTTCTGTGATTCCGTGTGTTAATAGGGACGCGACCTCAGACGTCACGCCAGAGCCGCCTGCCGTGGTGCATCCTTGCCATTCCTGCCTACCCGCGGTAGCGGAGAGACAGCCGTCTGAAGAAGATCTTTGCGAATACTTTCAGTTGCTCTTTGGTGATGCTGAAAACAAAAAACACAACTAAGGCTGAGAAAAACTAGAAAACATAAATTGATTCATCTTTCAGATCCATGCCATGTCTTGGTTTCTTCGTGTGGAGAGTGGTATAAGCCTTGATCTCATAGTTTCTTCCAAATCTCAACCAGTTATGTTTTTCATAAAATAATAAACATTTTACTTCGATCATTTCAATGGATTTTCAATAAAAAATATATGCATAATAGTTAATGTCTTTAAAATATAAATTTATTATAAGAAAACACCGCGATTCAACTTGGGACTCCAAGAAATGTAACTCATTTCCTTAATTATTGCTTTATAGGAAGTAAACATGTAGTGTGCGATAGAGGGGCAGTGTGCGATAAAGGTGTAGTGTGCCATTGAGGGGAAGTGTCTATAGAGGGATTTGACTTTTGGATCATCTGTGCAATAGCAGGCCTAATTATAAAAAAATTTGTGTAACTTGATATTTACATGGTGTGCTAAAATAATTATTTTCTAGCTTAAAAATTTTGTGATAGGTACTATTGAAGGCCCGGTATAAGATTTGCATACATCTATACAATAAAATGTCTATGTGTCTGATGGTAAACATTAACTATTTCAAGAATGGCTTACCAACGGTAGCTTTATAGCTCTACCAATACGATCTACTTCTATTTCTGCCTCCAATAAAAGCATTTTGAAATATCTGAACGCGTGGGTGTTTATCGGTGTTATATTTTTCAACCTTTTATTTCACCTCTAATGTTTGAATGCACCATTTAACAAAATCAAACAATGTCACGAGTACGAACTTGAAATCAATGCCGTTGGTCGAAATGTTGGACAATGCACTAAAGGCAATCAAATGAAAAAGTAAGTTTACTAAGCTATATTGGCAATCAGTTTCTCCTTTTTCAGATGACTTTGTGGCAATAATTAGTCAATGCTAGTCTGAGTGATTAGCTCATCTCTCTTTTTTCCCATAGTTTTGATGGGAATAATAGAAAAAGTTCGGCTATGCACTTCTAGCAATTGCTAACAGTGTTTCTTTGAGTTTCAGACATTTTTTCCACGGGGGGGGGGGGGGGGGTGTCAAGAAAAAAAAAATTACGTCCCGGGGCGTTAGACTAGCGAGGGCACCAAAATGGGCTTTGATGGTATTTGATGGTGTAAAATAATTAGTTTCAGAGCAGGGTTTGGGGGGGGGGCATAAAAATGAATCTTACCCCTTGACGCAAAACACTCTAGCTACGCCCCTTCCAGTGGCGTAAAAAGGGGAGGGTGAGGTTGTTCACCCAGGTGTCACTTTTTCTTAATATGGAGATTCGGCATTTTCGGACAATTGCAGCGTTTGTATTATAAAGAGAGAGCAGCAAATACATGTTCACCCCTGGTGGCACTAATTGTAGCTACTCTTCACCATAAACTGTCGATCATTTTCATCAGGGTGTAGAGTAGAAATCGAGGGTGCCGATGAATCTTGCTTTTATTTATAGAACAAAGGCAAGACAAGGAACATAATGGTAAACTCAGCAAACCAAAAGCATATCTCTCTGGTAGGAAATTCACTGGGAGAAGTGGAGGCCATCACATACTTAGGCAGCACCATAGACTTAACTGGTGGATCCGAAACGAAAGTGAGGATTAGAATTGGCAAGGCTGGGTCAGCATTTGTGCTATGTCAAAGAAAATTTGGGCGTAAAAGGAGATGACTCTTCAAACCACGGTCAGAATTTTCAAACCAGGCCTACTCTATGGAGCCGAAGCTTGGAGAACAGCGAGCATTATGCATTAAGTACAGACCTTCATAAACACTTGCCTTAGAACGACCCTGAAGATCAAATGACCAAACACCATCGCCAACAAATACTAACAAGAAAGGACATAGAAGCCTATTGCTGAAGACATCATAAGGTAAAGATGGATGTGGATAGGTTACACTCTTAGTACACTCCCAGATACCAGCCCCAGACAATCCCTAATATGAAATCCGCGGAGAAAAGAGAGGAAGCCCTAAAAATACATGGAGACGTGAGCTAGAGACAGACACACAAAGTATGAAAGTATGGGATTCACATGAAAGCATTTAGAAAGGAACGAACAGGATAGAGATGAATGGAAAATTTTGTAGACAACCTATGCCCACGATGGAGTAAAAGGCATAATTAAGTTAAATAAGATGAATCTTGAGCGGTAGAGGGGTCTTGGGAGCCTTCTCCCATGATTTTTTAAAAATTATTATTTCAAAATCAAGAGGTGCATTTTAGATTATAATTAAATTCAATGTTTCTATAAGACTTTTTGATCAGGGGAAGTAAATTTTTAAGGGTCGGGGCAGGAATTATGGTGCCAGTGCCGTACGTAAACTGAATTCACTTTAGTTGTGGCGTGCCCCAGGGTAATAATTTGGCACAATATTTTTTTCAACCCATAGAAAGAGATATATGAGGTACATTAAGATTTTGGTAAAACAGAGTAGATGACCCTTAGACACAGTATGGGCAGTAATCCTTGAAGCCGCACTGGAGAGAGTAAGTTCCCCTTTCCATGCACCCCATCGACGGTATCGCCAAAAAAACAACAACAACGCCCTCAGTAGATTGCCATAATTTGAGAGTGAAAATACAGCTAGTTCAAGTGATTAACCATTAAATTAGAAATACACAAATGAATGATCTGCATGGTATCGATTTTTCTTTGTTTATTGGAAGTCCCACACAAAGGGATTCTCATATGGCTATGATCAACAGAGCATTATTATCTAGAATATATAGGATTAAATTAATCCTATTTGGTCCTTTCAATTAATCATTAATTTGTTCAATATTAGTTATTTATATTACTATATTATAATTATAGGCCAAGATTTTAACCTAGGCTATTCACGTTGACTATTGTGACAAACTAAAAGAACTGTACCGTGTGTTCCAAATTTAGTTTTGATTTAAACTAATAAATATAGAAATAATGTATATTATACATTTGATATTTCATCTTCCATAATAATAAACTTATGTCTGTTGTGAAGTACATAGTACTTTATATGTCCTTTGCCATTTGCTGAAATGCTCCTTTCCAAGATCTATACAAGCCTGTTTTTACATTGCCTACAGTGTACATCTACTTACCCTCCAGCAAGTAGGATACCCACAGCAATAGTAGGTTATCCTAATGAAAATTTCATAATGAAATTAAATAAAATTAAACTATTCCCCTAAATAGAGCTTGGCTTAATCAGAACTACAGGAAAGTGTAGTTTTAGCAACCACTAACTTCTAAAATAAGTAAGTTGGGACTTTCAAATCTCTTGCACACACAACCAGCTATACATTTAACAAACTCAATTTTTTTCAGGGTTGTCACTAAAATGTAAATGAAATTTGTATTCATCCAAAAACGATTTGAAGCTCAATTTTACAAAAATATATACAAAAGGGAGACAAAAAGTAAGTCAATTTAAGTTCATATTAAAATCATAAAAAATCAATCAATTAAGCTATTCTAAAAATAAAGGAGTCAAGTGAAAGGTTACATCAATGAGAAATCATCAGGCAACGGTGAAAGCGACAAAATATTTTACAAAAATTATTTCAGCACGTCATGTTCACAAAAACTAAGAATTTCATAGCCTATTTTTTAATTCATAAAAAATTAACGAAGGGAGATAACATACCAAATCTTACACAGTATTGTAGAACATATTAATCTTGTTAATAATAAAGCAATAGACTAGGGTTAAGAATACAAAATTGTGCACAGTAAATATAATAAATATGGGTATTTCACTATGAAAATTTAGAATTTCAAGCAGAAATCATATAGTTTGGTGTTATGATAATCAATTTATAAGATTATAAGTATAAAAACAAAAGGATTCTTTTAGCAAGGCATGTTCACAAAAATTAAGCAATTTTTTTTAAAAAATCATAAAAGATTCAGAAGCAAGGTATCTAGTATCTACATAAAATTTATAACACATAACACTTGAAAATTAGTTATGATGGCATGCCCTTTATGAAGCATATTAATACATTTTTGAGTTGATGAAAAATCTTTAAAAACATGATGAAAAATAATATCAATGACATAGCAAGTTTCATCTTAAAATTCAGTTAAATTTTGTTGCAATTAAGGACATGTGGACGATGTTTGTTTTTTTAAATTCAGACTTATGTTATGAAACAGAAAAAACACATTTTTGTCTAAGCCCTAAGGCACGTCATCTATTCACTGGTGTTTGAACAGAAAAAGTTTAGAAACTTGTTTGCGGGTTTTAATCCCAATCTCTGAATCTGTCTTGCGCTTTGCCAGATGGTGAAAAAGTACTTTGGTGTAGCATAAGGGAACGGTTTTTATGAGAACGAAAATGTGATTTTCCTCATCAGTAGTGTCGAGGTCATGGTCCTTCAGTTTAGAAAACACTTTACGGTGCATTTCAGATAACACTGCTGATGAAATGGCAGAGGGAATCCAGGGACCCTGGGGAAGTTTGTTGTCGTTACATGCAACATTCTACATATGATGCGGTCAGATTCCAAGCAGATGGCCAACACATCAGCAGATGGCTTTTTAAATCCACGTTTATCTTTCAGTTCAATAAAAGGGTGCACTTCGTTATCAGTTGCATACAACATTGAGCAGCAGAATAAACAGGATATCTGTCGTTTTACCATTCTGAACACGGAGCCCGCAATGAAGGCTATCACTGCTGTTCTATACTCGTTAGAACCAATCATCTCCAAGAAGACTTTCATCATATTCAACAACATAGTCTTTGTCTGCAGTCAGCTCATATCTACGGGTAAGACTAGTGTTATAGAGAGCTTGTTTTTCTCGTGCGTGCCCTCTGATTGTCCCCGCATGAGACGCTGTGTTCACAAAGGGGTGTGGCTTAGGTCTTTGAAGTGGCTTGTTTACAGTCGGCTTCCAATTACGCATTGGGTAGATTGTTTTCGGGTAATTTCTGGAATATACTCCTTAACCCGAGAGATGTAAACAACACGTCATAAGCCCTTCTCGAAGCATCTTACTCTACATATATATAAGAGATTGACAGGCACGAGGAGACGGAGATTTTTCACATAGATTTTCTTAACATTACGAGGCGTGTTTTATTCTTTGTGTATTTGTGTGCTCCTACTTATATGTGTTTATTTCGCATTATTTATTGGCATCATTATTTCTAATTGTATTAACTGTGTACCGGTACGACATCTGCCATACTGTAAGTTGAAGATTGTAATTTTATTTTATTTTATTTTGTAATTATCTTAAGACATAATAAATCTTAATTAATTGTAACTAGAAACTGTTTTGGGTCGTATCTTTAATATTGTTGATTATATGGTATCGTCCTTTGTTAGGCACTGTTTACAACGAGCCAATTAAAATTAAAATAGGAGATTAATTTCTCCCAATACAAGTCAGTGCGTAACAAATTGGGTTGCTCGTCCCGGATATAGCGGACTCTATATTATTATTTTTCTCAAGACCCCAATTCTAACAAATTGGGGGCATCGTCCGCGATAACCGAATCCATATTTTATTCTCATTAGACCCCAATTTTAACAAATTGTGGGATTTTCCGAGGATAATTTTAATCCATAGTTTTTAATACACCAATAATAAATTGAGCGTTTTTTCTGTGGATTTTGACAAACTGTTTACCTTAATACACTCAAA